CCATAAAGGAACCTCCGTATCCGGGTAACAGAGAATAAACATGCTGAGTCCCATGATGGAGCCTCCGGTACGGGTAACAGAGTACAGACATATTAAGTTCCATAATGGAACCTCCGATACCGGGTAACAGCTAATACATATCGCATGATGCTAAGGAAGCCACGAATACATAATTAGAAATTGGACAATCATTCATTATACAAACATATCATTTCAGAAAACAAATCTTAATTCATCACACAGAAAGTAAATACAGTTGAACATAACTTTACTAAGTTATTACTCACAGTTGGCTTCAAGGCAGACAGACAGAGCAGACCTAGTCAGATAGTATACGGCACGTGACCTACACCACGACATATAACAGAAACACACCCAAAACACATGCTCGAATTGTACATAACTTATTTCGTTGGTCAAAGTGCGTTTCTAGCCTTTAATCCTCATTACGGAGTCTTAAACATAGCCTAGGAATGCCTAGGATGAAATGAGGATGCAAAGGTGTATTGGAAAACATTTTTCAAAACCTACTGAAAATAAGGTCCACGCTCGAGCGTGACTTTGCTCGCTCGAGTGGATATGCAGACAAGGAAGCTCCGCTCGAGTGTGACTTTCCCCGCTCGAGCGGATTGCAAACTTTTGAAAAAGTGTTGGATGTAAGATTTTCACGCTCGATAGACGCTCGACCTCCGCTCGAGTGTGAGACTTAGAGCCTCGCTCGAGTGTGGATTCCCTCGCTCGAGCGAACTGCAAAATACACAAACTTCTGGGTATATGCGTTTCACGCTCGAGCGTAACACTCGACGCTCAAGCGGAAGTGCATGTACTCAGAGTGCATGCTCGAGCGTGAAGTTCCTCGCTCGAGCGTGGATCAAATTTTTGGAATTTCCGGATTTGATTACCAAGCTCAAATTCAACCTCAAATACATCAAACTCAATTTCTAGGCCCAAAACTTTGGAAAACACTTAGGCCTCGCTTGGGAACCCTCTTTTTTAGCCAAAAAGTCAAAAAGTTACTAAATTAGCCAAAAAGCCAACAACCCATACCAAAAAGTCAAAGATTCTCTTTTCTCTCTACTTTTTGCACATCTTTTCATAAAAAGTCAAAAAGTCATCGACTCAGAGCCTCACTCGAGCATGGATTCCCTCGCTCGAGCGGACTGCAAAATACACAAACTTCTGGGTATATGCGTTTCACGCTCGAGCGTAACACTCGATGCTCGAGCGGAAGTGCATGTACTCAGAGTGCACGCTCGAGCGTGAAGTTCCTCGCTCGAGCGTGGATCAAATTTTTGGAATTTCCAGATTTGATTACCAAGCTCAAATTCAACCTCAAATACATCAAACTCAATTTCTGGGCCCAAAACTTTGGAAAACACTTAGGCCTCGTTTGGGAACCCTCTTTTTTAGCCAAAAAGTCAAAAAGTTACTAAATTAGCCAAAAAGCCGACAACCCATACAAAAAAGTCAAAGATTCTCTTTTCTCTCTACTTTTTGCACATCTTTTCATAAAAAGTCAAAAAGTCATCATAAACATACTAGTTTTTTTTAGCTCATATTTTAACCAAATAGCCAAAAAGTTACTAAATTAGCCTGTTTCCAAACGAGGCCTTAGAAACCCATGAAACAACATGTTTAAAGGATCATAACAAGAAATCATGGCCCAAAAGTATGCCAATTGAGCAACATTCAACTTGAAACTCAAGAATAATTCATGAACATGACTTGAATGCAATTCTTTGAACCAAAGTTTCTCAAAACATGACCAAATGCAAAGTTCAACTCGAAAACATGATCAACTATGACAATATGACATGGAACATGAAGAATTTCTAAAACAAAGCTTGGATTATGACATGCATGCAAGAATTTCTTAGAAAAACAACCTCAAATGCCATGAATTACACATGCATGTATGCATTGAGATTCAATTCTCCAATCTTAGCTTAATTGACCACCTAACCTTCTTGAGTTCAAATACTTAATGTCTCAAATACAAGGCTTAAGAGTATAGTTTTTACCTAAGGTTGATTTCAAGTGTGATCCAAACCCAAAGCTTCAAATTGGCTTCAATCTCCTAGTCAATTCTTCATTTAAGCTTAACCTCTCTCTATTCTTCCTTCCTCTTACGTTTTTCCCTTAGAATAGGCTCAAAGTGCTTTAAAATCAAGGAAGGGAGATGAGTGGTGTGTCAAAGTGGCCTTATAGGTAGTAATTTATCATAACTAATCAAATGGCATTATTTTAATCAAATTTAATCACTCCGAACTGAATTTTAATTAAGCCTACCATAAATTTCTATAAATCTCAATTAACAGATAAATCAAGTCAATTTCTGATTCGGACGCCGATAAGGCTTTCAATTCGCAAATCGAAACTAAAACATGAACAGATCTTCTTACGCCTAACAGATATAAACATAAACAATGCAACACACACGCAGTTTAATTCAGAATTTCATCTTAATCACTAATTAGGCATAATTAATCACGGATTAACGTTAGTTAGAGGTCGGGGTTGTTATAGCTTGGTCATGAAGCCCTATTGATAGGGAGAGTTTTTGATTTTTTTCAAAACCTTCATTCTCAAAAACTTCTTTCATACTTTCCTTTTGAAGCATATAGTTTGAAAACTTTAAATATTTGTCATCATTAAAAAGGGGGACATTGTTAGCCCCAAGGTTACTCAAACTTGAGTTTCTATTTATTTTGATTAGTGACGAATATTTTATTCTTCTGATTATTTGAAGTTTTCAAATTAATATATGTACTTCATGATTCTAATTGTTTTGGGACTCTAGAATATTATGTTTCAATAACTTTTGGAATATAAAAAATATAAGCATTAGCTTTTGGTTGCAAAACTCTATCTTTGTTTAACACAGGTCTAAGGGTCGACACCAGAAGAGCAAGGGTCGACACTAGAATAATCCTCAAGAGTGTTAAGTATTCCAGAACAAAGGGTCGACACCAAAAAAACAAGGGTCGACACCAGGGAGAAGCTGGAAAAATAACTAAGTGTTCCAGATGCAAGGGTCGACACCAGTAACAGCAAGGGTCGACACCAAAAAATAGTATACACTTCAGCCGCAAGGGTCGACACCAAATGAGATAAGGGTCGACACCAGGAACACATGTAAATCAACTCAGGAAAGAAAAGACAGAGCAAAGGGTCGACACCCAATCTACAAGGGTTGACACCTTTATGTCTGGGTTGCAAAAAACCTAGCCGCCATCTTCTAACTCAAAGAGGGTCTCTGTGACATCATCATTAGACAAATGCTATTCTAATCAAAAGGAACTTTGGGACAATAATCTCTGACTTAATGGAGGAAACATTTTTCACTCACACCACTCCCAAGATCAGAAAAAGAAAAAGCATGGAGACAACGTTATATCCATCCACCATAGTTTTGTATCCCAAGCATGGGCATCACTTCATTTGAGGAAGCTCCATCTCCAATGGTCAGAAAACAGCCTGTACCATCCACGCTCCACTCACAATAGCTGGAAACTTTTTCCTTGCCCAGCTCCAACGAATAGCAAACCCACGTGGGTGTGTTTTTTTTTTTTTCAAGAGTTAAGTCAGATGGAGGCTATAAATCTGGATCTTTTCCAGATCTGAAAGTACAGAACATACGACTGCAACTACACTACATATACCGAGCATCATTTTCAATCTCTGTGATTTCACTTGTGTGATCTCTCATTTTCAGATCTAAGTTAGTCCAAAACTTACTTGTGAGCTTACACTTTCATAATTCATCTTTTTAGAGATAGTAATTGTCAAAGAGGACAGTTGAAACTCTTCTTCTAGTTTTTTAGTTTCTGAGTGAAACATTTGTAAAGTGAGGCATTTTGTTGGGTGAGATCCTCAACAGATTGAAGTAAGTCCTTTTGTAAATAACCTCAAGTTAGGAAAAGCTTGGTGGTGCATCGATTCATAGTGAAAAAATTTTCAAGGAGGATTCTTGAGAAGTGGACGTAGGCCGATGAGCCGAACCACTATATATCCTTGTGTTAAGTTCTTCTTTCCTATTCTTTTCACTTTCTGTTAATCAATTGATTATCTGCTTCATTTAATTACTTAAGATCTTTTGAACCTTATTTTTGGACCAAATTTTTTAGTAACCCAATTCACCTCCTCTTGAATTGCTTTCTTGTTTAACAAATATGATTGCTAATATTACTATTTTAGAGTTCATCTAATAAATAAAAAGAATAAATAGGATTTAACTTTTTGAAAATAGAAAAATAAAAGTGTGATTCTCTCTTTCTCATTCCTCTCATCCAAACATGACTTAAAGTGCACTAGAGCTTTCATATCCAAAGAAAGTCACAGATCATTTGTTTTCCACCATCTAGTCCAGAAATGACAAATCAACCAGCACCATTTCTTTATTTTATTTTTCACCATCTTTGCACAATAAATTCCATCAAACTCAGCTCACATTCAACCCCGACATGGGAAGGCAATGTTTTTTTTAAAAAAAAATATTTTGTCGGGTAAAATATAATAAGGGGAATTTCAAAACAATAAAACAGACGAAAAAAAAAAATTTACAAAAACATGTGAGATGCAAATAATTTTTGTAATGAGGTGTGCAAGTAAAAAATTAAAATAATACTATATGTACTAATTAATGTACTAATTAATATACTAACAAATGATGTGACATAATTTTAAAAGTTTTAGATATTTGTAATTTGTATAATAAGTTAGACCAGTAATAATGATGTAACACTAGTTGGTACATTAATTAGTGCATATAGTACTACCGAAAAAATTATAATTGTACCTCTCCATGTTTGTGTAAAAAACATTTCTTCTTCCACTGGGGTATAATTCTCCCAATATAATAAGGCCAGAGGGATTTTAATTTAACATCATTGAAATTAGTCCAGCAAATATAATTAAAGCGTGGCCACAATCTATATGAAATAGTACCAGTAATTAAAAAAAATGAAAATAAGGACAAAAGCAAATGCAAAAACAATTCCTTTTGGAAATTCCATTCGCAACATGGGCTTGATGAAATCAAGAACTGAATAGAAGGAACATCACCATTTGGATATAATCTCCATATTTCTTTTGGAAATGAAGCCTTTTTCCATTTTAGTTATCCATTTGTGCTACATAGTACATTACTATCAACAAAGAATCAACAATGTAAAACCTAAAACTTTTCAAAATTAGAAGTAAAATCTAAAACCTCCTGCCCTAGTTACAACCAAGACTTTTCCTTATGATGTTCCTGTAGTTTATCAGGCTATGGCATTACTTTTTGCTTCCTCCTACTTTCCAAATGCACAGAGAGTTGAGCACACTTCCTTTTGGTTTCTTCCACCTGTTTCTCTAAATCTTTGACCTATTTCATTCCAACAAAAAAAATAAAATCATTCAGTTTATAATGATTCACACGCAAAGTCAATCACGTCTAAAGCTTGAAGATATGTACTGCAAACACAACTTTACCTACCATCTGTTTCAACTTATTTTCCTTCTGGATATGTTCTTCACACCTGTAGGAAAAAGACTTAATCAGATGCAATTCAGTCACATTATTTTGATCATCCCGTCAGCCTCCTCTTCTAATTTAAATTTTTTTAACAAGAGTTTAACATAATGCTTGCATGATTATTTTGAGAAGTCTACAAGTAACATTTTCAAACTGTAATCACAGCACCACAAAAATGTCACTCCAAAAGTTTTTTGATCTTCATGCTGAATGTTCTACTTTTAAGGATCCAAATAAACCCATGGGATGAAATTTGCTAAACATGTTTTCCAGTGTTCCGGATATATTGTATACAGCAAGTGTTTAAAAACATGGCCCTCTTCTGCTATTCTAAACCTTACTACCAGAGTGAAACCTATGAGGAATCAAATGATCTCGAGATTTAATGAAGCCTATCCCGGATTATAAAGCAATGATTGACATGTGTTGGAACATCTCCAGACTGCTGAGTTTATGGCTTGATATTTACCTCCTGAACAGTTGGATGTTCTCTTCGCATATCTGATCGATGGATGCGGGCCCTGAAATATCTACAGATGCCACTTCCAGAGCAGACCCCTGCATTCCATATAAACCATGAATAACAAACAAAATAATCTTTCATATCATTTGCATATTGCTTATAACAGGAGTCCCTCTCAATAACAATTTAGAACTAAACTACATGTATTTTGTGAAAAAAGTAATAGTAATAGAAAATTAATTTAGGGAAAGCAATGAAATATTAAAAACTTTTTCAGTGGTGGTGATGTATATTTATATTTTTTGACTATTGTTTGTGTTTCTCGTTATCTTCTTTAATTTTTTTAACCTACAAATCAAAGGCAGTTTCTCTGCTGAAAGACCTAATTATTGTGCAATTTCAAATGATTTGGGACTGCCCTGAAATCAAAAAATCAAATTGCTATGCTACAAAATCAATCAAGGGTTATTTCTACAAGTGTTAGATAGCTTGATATACATTGTTGGGCCCATTTCCCAGCAGCTTAGACTTTTGGAATTTTTTTTGACTTAACCTAGTATCAGAACTCTGGTTGAGAAAGGTTTTGGTTTCAAGTCTCTCCGTTGGCATGTCCCTGTTTGGTTTCTCCCTCTTTGTTTGGCTGTTTGATTCTCCTTCTGTTTCGTTATCTGTTTGTCTCTCCACATGCAAGACGGGGTTGCATGTGAGGGAGGGTGTTAGATAGGTCGATATACATTGTTGGGCTCAATAGCTTAGGCTTTTGGAAAAATTGGCAACTTAACATGAAGATCGGAAATCGTGTTAGCAGTCAACAGCACAAAATTTGGACTAAGGAACAAACTGTTTAAACATGTGAACCATGGTTTGAATAACGGTATCAGAATATATCGGTCTTGCCAATACAGTCATCTATTGGCCAGTATCAAGGAGTAATGGACTGTATTGACCGATATATCAGTTATCAGAAGGCCAAAATCCTGTTATGTAACAACGGCCCATAGCAAAACCCTGATGTGAACAATATCATCATCATTAATTATAATAGCATTAGAACATATACTCATAATGACAAATTGCACACAACATGACCTTGTGCCAGGGATATAAACAAGGCCACTGCTTAGGACTCAGCATTTTGACAATGGTAGGAAATTTAACCAGGTCTAGTTTTTCTACTTTGCTCATGTTTAGCAGCTTCATGCCTTGAAATAGATTGTGTTACAACAGCCCTTAAATTTATTAATAATAATAATAAATTTGATAATGATGCAGGGATGTTTTTTCACTTACAGCTGCAAGACCAATAATAGGATGATCTCGCTGCATTTCCTTTTGTGCATTCCCTGAAATTCCAATGGTACGATCATTTGCCAACTGCTTCGGTACATTAGCCATATGTCCAACAGGAGTTTGGACAGGGCTTTCCTTCTGTATATTACGCAAACTGGGATCAATAGGCTGGTATCCTATTAAGTGACAGTGGCCTTTCCTGTATTATCAAAAAAAACCTTTTGTGTGAAACTCTGTTGCAACTCATCACCTGAATGTTAAAACACTGGACATCTGATTAAAATCTTCTGTATCCATGATAACAGCAAAGAAGTTATAACAATACTTTAAACATGAAAGAAAAACGATAGAAGAGCATGATAGTCAAGAGAGATTCCATCAAACATGATAAACAAATGCTATTTAGTCTCACATGAGGACCCTTACTGAAAGAACGAAGGCAATATTAACGCCTCCATCAATTTGACATGTAAGCAGGTAGTGAGAGAACATGCTATAAATATAATGCCTATGTCATGAATGGTTTTAGGAAAGGCGAATAAACACACATCCAGGATGGTATATTATAGGTTATACACACGACATCATTTAACACATCCCAATTGTTAGTAACAAACGATTTTGCTACTGTTCACATTGCGCATGTAAACAGGGAGAGCTAGCCTTAGATGGGGTCACAGATGCAAACGTGCACACAGAAATATATCTTATCGCAAGTCTATCAATATGCTCAATAATTAAGGTGTAGTTTGTAACTTTTAGCGGAATAAACATAATTTAATATAACACAAGTCAAGTCGGTCAAACCTGAAGGTTCCACAATTTTATTTTGAAGAATAAGTATACGCACCGCTTAAAATGTTTTAGGTTCTAAAATGAGGGGTTTCCACTTACCCTTTCTTTTTATTCTACTCTATTTAGGGTTTCTAGGTTCATTTTTTAAACATTTGAGAATATATGATTTTTGAATAATTTTATGGTTGGTCGGATTTGGACACCTCTTTTACTATGAAGACAATGTCTTACCAATTAAACCATGTGAAATCAACTTAGTTTAAATTTTTCATATAAACGACTGTTTAACATCATTTTTTTTTTTTGAAACAACAACGAAATTTATTTATAAAAGAAGAAAGAAAGGAGGACGAGAAATCCTCATACAGAGAAAAGGAACATGAAGTAAAACACAGCCATCATAAAAAGAGAAAAAACAAGCAAACCCAAACACTAAGGGTTACAAACAGCAGCCCAATCCCTAGAAATCAAGAAAAGAGGCATTCCCCTAAAAGGAGGAGACACAAAGGCCCAAAAAGATGCCAAAAATCCAGCCCTATCCCACAACGAATCTGTATCACCCTCCTTTCCATCAAAGATCCGTGCATTTCTCTCCAGCCATATGATCCAGAAAATAGCACAAACAATACAAGACCATAATGACTTGGCTCGCTTAGATCCGCCAAACCCATCAAACTTAACAAGAAGCATGTGTGTGCAATCCCGTGGAGCAACCCATTTAACATCACACAAGCCAAATAGACGCTGCCATAACTGAATAGCCACCGAGCAATGGAGAAAGAGGTGATTCGCTGATTCCGAACTCCTCTTGCACATCACACACCATTGAGGGCAAAGATGGTGATTTGGCCTCCTCCTTTGGAATAGATCATTGGTCATAACACCTCTATGAGCTAAGGACCACATGAAGAACTTTACTTTGTGAGGGAAACCCGCTTTCCAAATTTTCATGTGAAGAGGAAACAGAGGAACGGATGACTTATCAATGAGATTATCAAACAAGGATTTACAAGAAAAAACCCCTGAAGAGTTGATATTCCACACCCTTTTATCAGGATATGATGCTGAGGAAACCCCACCAACCAACGTCAACAAAGATGTCAACTCAAGAGACTCCCTATCACTAAGATTCCTAAGGAAGTTGAAATTCCAAGATATTGGTGCCACATGAGAACGTGCCACCGACTCAATTGAAACATTTTGAGCTTGAACCAATCGATATAAAAGTGGAAAAGCTTTATCAAAAGATGTATCCCCTACCCAAACATCCTCCCAAAAATGTATACTAGCCCCATCACCCACTTTCATAGAGAAAAACCGAGACACAATTGGATACAACCGAGAGATAAACTTCCAAGGAGAACGACAACTGCCCCTACTAACCACAATAGAATCTCTACCACTAGTCTAAATTTCATACTTGCTTTTAATGATAGAACCCCATAAGGACTCGCTTTCCTCGGGAAATCTCCACAACCATTTGCTTAAGAGGGCAATGTTTCTAGTAACAATGTTCCCAATAGCAAGACCCCCTTTACGACGAGGAAGAGAAACAACCTCCCATCTAACTAAATGATCCCGCTTGCCCTCATCACACCCTTCCCAAAGGAAATCTCTCAAAAGTTTCTCAATTTGCCTTGCAAAACAGACCGGTATCTTGAAAAGGGACAAAAAAATAAATAGGAACACAACTCAACACTGACTGTACCAAAGTGTATCTCCCACCCTTTGACAATGCTCGTTTCCAGCCCTCCAATCTTAACGAGGACTGGATCCCAGAAGGCCTCTGTTCTAGGATTACCACCCAATGGAAGTCCCAAATACTTAAGAGGGAACCTCTCAATGGGACAACCCAACATGTCTGCCAAACGACGCTCGTAACTACACATCTCCCACCCTTTGACAATGCTCGTTTCCAGCCCTCCAATCTTTTCCCAATCTTAACAAGGACTGGATCCCAGAAGGCCTCTGTTCTAGGATTACCACCCAATGGAAGTCCCAAATACTTAAGAGGGAACCTCTCAATGGGACAACCCAACATGTCTGCCAAACGACGCTCGTAACTACACTCAAGATTAATTCCCACAACACTGCTCTTAGAAAAATTAACCTTAAGGCCAGATACAACTTCAAAGATCTTTAAAAGCATAAGTAGATTACGTATCTTACCTTCCTCCTTAGCAGAGAAAAATAAAGTATCATCTGCAAACTGCAAGTGAGTCACACTAATCCTATCTCTACCCACCACAAACCCCTCAAGAACCCCATTTTCCTCAGCAATATCAAGTAACCTCCCCAACGCATCAACCACTACAATAAATAAAAAAGGTGATAATGGGTCTCCTTGCCTTAAACTCCGAGATGCATGAAAAGAATTCCCCGCTTTTCCGTTCACAATAACCGACATATTACACGAAGACACACAACCCCAAACCCACTTCCTCCACCTAAAACCAAAACCTTTCCTTTCCAAAACAAAATCCAGAAAGCTCCAATCCACATGATCATACGCTTTCTTAAAGTCTACCTTGAAAAGAACCCCCTCCTTATGCAAAGCTCTATATTTCTCCACAACCTCATTGGCCACTAGAACCACATCCAAAATTTGCCTTCCATGCACGAAGGCTCCTTGTGAAGGAGAAATCGTTTCCCCAAGGGCAACTCTAATTCTTTTGGAAAGAACCTTCCCCAAAATTTTGTAAAGCGATGTAACCAAGCTAATGGGCCTAAAATCCCCAATCTTCACCGATTTCTCTTTCTTGGGAATAAGGCAAATGAAGGATGCGTTGGTACAAAGGTTAACCTCCCCACTCTCGAAAAATTCACCAAATACTCTCATTAAATCACCTTTCACTATATCCCAACACTCTTGGAACAATGCCATTGAAAAACCGTCCGGGCCTGGAGCCTTATCTCTCTCACAATCAAACACAGCCTGATGCACCTCGCACTCATCAAAGGGCCTCTCAAGCCATCTAGCTGAAGAGGCACTAATTGGGGCCCAATCTAGGCCTTCAATCCCTGGCCTATCCACACCTCCATCAGAGTAGAGGTTCGAGTAAAATTTGAAAATTTCATTCACAATTTGTTCTTCCCTATTCACCACTAACCCTTGCTCAACCTCCAAACACTTAATAAGGTTTTTTTGCCTCTTCCCTGATGCCACACGATGAAAAAATCTAGAATTTATATCACCCTCCTTTGCCCATTTCAATTTAGCCCTTTGCCCCCAAAAAATCTGGTCCGTAAAAACTGTCTCTTCTAGTCTCATTCGAAGCATGTTTCTTTCGTCCCTCAAAGCCCTAGAAAAACCCTCCCCAACTTCCTTTGCATTCAACTCCTCAATACCTCTCACTAACTTCGCCTTTAAATTAGCCGAATCACCAAAGACTTCATGCTTCCAACCTCTCAAATTCTCCTTAACCGCTTTCAGCTTACGCATGAATTTGAAACCCTCCCACCCCTGGGGCCCACAATTCTCCCACCAGTCCTTAAAATAGCCCTTAAAAGAATGATCCTCTAACCACGCATTCTCAAACCTAAAGGGACAAGGACCCCATTTAAAGGGGCAACTCTCAAAAATCACCGGGCAATGATCGGACACAACCCTAGGTAATGCCTCTTGTCTAATGTCGGGAAACAACTCTTCCCACCCCAAGGTATGAAGGAACCTATCCAATCTACTACACACAAGATTTTCTTGAAGATTGGACCAGGTGAATCTAGCATTACTCAAAGGAAGATCAATCAATGCACCCTCCCGGATGAAAGAATCAAAAACCCTCATACTTCCGTTTGAAGACACCCCGTTAAGCTTTTCAGACACGAGCCTAACCACATTGAAGTCACCGCCCACACACCAATTAGGAGCACGAAGCCCAAGTAAACCCCCCAACTCCTCCCACCAATCCCGTCGATCCCTAGATCTATTGGGGCCATAAACTCCTGATAACCACCACTCACTATTATCTCGATTTCGAAACTTAATAGACAATGAAAAAACCCCCAATAGTATTTCACACTCCGATACAATTCTGTCATCCCACATAATTAAAATACCCCCCGATCTCCCACTAGAAGGTAACACAACCCACTTTTTAAATCGAGTCCCCCAAATACTCCTAATAAAAGACCTATCACACTCCTCGCATTTAGTCTCCTGGAACATGACAATATCTGGCTAATGAACTTTCAAAAAATCTTTTATTACCGCCCTCTTTCTATAGGACCGTAGTCTTCTAACATTCCAACTCAAAATCTTCATCGAGCACCTAGACCACCCTTAACCTCTTTATCCCTACCCTCATAATTAATGCCACTCGCAAGATTCCTCAACTCCCTCCACCCTTTTCTATGTCCCGAACTTCTTTGAGATTTACCCCCCTTAGATACAAACTCCCTCTTCTTGGACCTAGACTTTAACCCGTTATTCTTTACTAAGGACAATCCAAGAGTGTCAAGCAAGTGCACAAAATGGGGTACATCCCTTTCCTCCAATGGAAAAGACACGTATTTACTCATCTTTTTCAACCAGTGCTCAGTCTCATCAACATTAGTTACTGAAACATCTGTAACTCCTAGCCCATGATCCCGAGATGTCCCCTCAGAAAATTCTGTCCTATGATCTCCCTCATTAGCCACAAGTGGAAGCAGTCTAGTAGTGGTATCCAAACTATTATTGGGTGCATGAGCCACAAAGTCCTCCCCATTGGAAGTCACTCTACTAGAATGAAGAAAGGCTGGACCATCATGTGACTCCCCCCCCCCCCCCCAAGATTGACCCAGGAACTGGCGAAGAGATAACAACCTGAATGTGATCAGAAAGTGCAGAATTCATATTGCCCTGCTCATAAGAGTCACCGACCTTTCCACAAGAATCAGAACCATCCTCACATTCCTTACCCTCGATGCGTTCCTTGCTATCAGAGTCCAAGATCTCCTTTTCATGAAATAACCAATTAAGATTAGGATCCAAGAATTCTCCCCTCTCCTCTTTACCATCGTCTCTCTCTTCTTGAACTGATGAATCCTCAGAATGTTTAGAAGACCCATACTCGTCCAGGGAAACAACTCTTCCCACCCCAAGGTATGAAGGAACCTATCCAATCTACTACACACAAGATTTTCTTGAAGATTGGACCAGGTGAATCTAGCATTACTCAAAGGAAGATCAATCAATGCACCCTCCCGGATGAAAGAATCAAAATCCCTCATATTTATGTTTGAAGACACCCCGTTAAGCTTTTCAGACACGAGCCTAACCACATTGAAGTCACCGCCCACACACCAATTAGGAGCACGAAGCCCAAGTAAACCCCCCAACTCCTCCCACCAATCCCGTCGATCCCTAGATCTATTGGGGCCATAAACTCCTGATAACCACCACTCACTATTATCTCGATTTCGAAACTTAATAGACAATGAAAAAACCCCCAATAGTATTTCACACTCCGATACAATTCTGTCATCCCACATAATTAAAATATCCCCCGATCTCCCACTAGAAGGTAACACAACCCACTTTTTAAATCGAGTCCCCCAAATACTCCTAATAAAAGACCTATCACACTCCTCGCATTTAGTCTCCTGGAACATGACAATATCTGGCTGATGAACTTTCAAAAATTTTTTTATTACCGCCCTCTTTCTATAGGACCGTAGTCTTCTAACATTCCAACTCAAAATCTTCATTGAGCACCTAGACCACCCTCAACCTCTTTATCCCTACCCTCATAATTAATGCCACTCGCAAGATTCCTCAACTCCCTCCACCCTTTTCTATGTCCCGAACTTCTTTGAGATTTACCCCCCTTAGATACAAACTCCCTCTTCTTGGACCTAGACTTTAACCCGTTATTCTTTACTAAGGACAATCCAAGAGTGTCAAGCAAGTGCACAAAATGGGGTACATCCCCTTCCTCCAATGGAAAAGACACGTATTTACTCATCTTTTTCAACCAGTGCTCAGTCTCATCAACATTAGTTACTGAAACATCTGTAACTCCTAGCCCATGATCACGAGATGTCCCCTTAGAAAATTCTGTCCTATGATCTCCCTCGTTAGCCACAAGTGGAAGCAGTCTATTAGTGGTATCCAAACTATTATTAGGTGCATGAGCCACAAAGTCCTCCCCATTGGAAGTCACTCTACTAGAATGAAGAAAGGCTGGACCATCATGTGACTCCCCTCCCCCCCTCCCCAAGATTGACCCAGAAAATGGCGAAGAGATAACAGCCTGAATGTGATCAGAAAGTGCAGAATTCATATTACCCTGCTCATAAGAGTCACCGACCTTTCCACAAGAATCAGAACCATCCTCACATTCCTTACCCTTGATGCGTTCCTTGCTATCAGAGTCCAAGATCTCCTTTTCATGAAATAACCAATTAAGATTAGGATCCAAGAATTCTCCCCTCTCCTCTATACCATCGTCTCTCTCTTCTTGAACTGATGAATCCTCAGAATGTTTAGAAGACCCATACTCGTCCAGTGCTTGCAACACCTCGTGAGGATTGTACAAACCTTCCTCCACTTCGTTTGCCAAAACATCGACAGCCTGAGGGACTTCCAACTCAGCTCTATCCACCATCGCATAATCATGATTGTCGCATCTAGGCTGTGAAAGATCCCCTGTCGATCGATCAACAAGATCCGCTAAACCCAACTGAATCTCATTCGGGTTGAGCTGCGAACGTGGGTCTGACCCAACCTTGCTGATCGCGACATCTCCATGATCAGTCCTTGCGAGACCCTCACGAAGATGACAACTTCCATCGCTATGCTCATTCGACAATTCCGAAGCTCGAATATACGCATGACCCGAACCAGAGACAAGCATCGGAGCCCTACCCGGAACACCATCTTCTGATAAATTGTTGTGGGTAGGGCCCAAATCAAATGTTAGGTCAACTCCCACATCTGATTTACCGAAAACCTGGGCCTTAGAACTTTCTAAAACATTTGGACCGACTTGTTGAAAAATCAGACCCAAAGAATTAATGGGCCCATTATGAATTACCAACCCAGCCCCATCCTGAGCTGAAACCCAGCCCAAGTGATTATCCTGCCCAAGCTCCATATCCTTCCTAACACCGCTTAGTCTTCCCTGTACATCGACAACCCCTAACCCAGAGTCATGCGCGACTTCGGAAACATCACCGATCAATGCACTCTGTCTTCCCAATTGTCTATCCTCCTCCACTATGCCACGTGTCCTTGCTGACCCTTCGAACTTCTCATCTCCCCTACCGCCGGCGCTGGAATCTGATGAGACTTGCCGGAGAATCCATGGCCGAGACACCTCTCTTCTTCTGATAGGTCTAGACAGAGGCTTCAAGCGAACACTGAACGATGCTTCCCCCACCATGACATCGACAATGGATGGTAAAAACCCAGAATCAAATCCTCTCACCTTCAGCCTAGCCTCAAAAAGGTTCTTAAAGGTGCTAGTCCTGCGATCCACTTCCAGCAGTCCTCCACACTTCAACCCTATCGTCTCGAATGTTTCCTCATTCCATAGATGAAAGGGTAAATTGCAGATAGCAACCCAGCCACCATATGAAGCAATGACATTAGGACAGCTATGCCTATTGTCAGACCAACTCTCCAACTTCACCGCAATACCCTTGCCGAAAAATCGCATCCCAAATCCTCTAAACTCTGCAGCTTGTTCCTTACTCTCGGTGATAAATAGAGCTCGGTTTAATTGAAAATGTCGAAGAGTGACAGAACACTTAAGATATTTGCATAATTCTCTCTCAATCTGTTCCCAACTAATAAAGAAATCAGTTCTGGTACAGACTACCGCATGATTCAAATCTATGCTCATACTGTTCCTTGCCGAATATGAGGACTCGACCTTAAACAACTCAGCGTATGATCGACCTCTGTTCACCCCTGTATTTTGACCTCTGGTTGCCCCTGTTATATGGCCTCGGAACTCCCCTGTGATGGCCTTCTCTATATGAGGTAAATAAGACCCTGAAAGCTGACTCTTCCTGAGCCCTCTCCTACCAACCTTAACCCCCTCATTACCTTTGTTGCCTCCATAAATGATCCAACCAAGCAACTCAGCTGTGTGGAGCCATCCTTGTCCATCAACCCCCACCGGAATAATGGCATTGCTTCTCTTGATCCCTGCTGTCCACTTAGACAACTCAACGAAAGCTCCCCTCTTGTTATTGAACCTCTGAAGACAAAACACAGCAGAATGACTTCTATATTTGCTAAAAAAAACTGCCTCACTGAACCTTCTCCCCACGCCTCTAGCAAAGCTTCCTTTACCCAGAAAACGCCTCCCAAATCAATCTTCACAGAAAAGCTTCTGGCTCAATTTCTTTCAGTTATCTCCACTAATTCCCCTCTGGACTCCTCATCGATTTTGATGATAATAATCTTCTGTTCAACTCTCAGCTCAGACGCTCTCCCTCTATAAGCCATAATACACATGTCCGACTGTTTAACATCATCTTTCATAGTTTGTGCCAAATTGTATGATTCCCAATTAGTATGATTCCTGATTTTATAGTTTGAACTATATCATTAGTATGAGTTTTTTTATGATGAGTTTTTTTATGAGCCAATGTCCAAGCAAAAACTTTGAGTGGTAGATTTGCACTCCATAACTTTAATTATATGTAACTTTCTTATGCATAATTCCCATATTGGGCAAACAAGCAAATAATTAGATTTAATTTTAAAAAGGTTAATAAGACTTAATGAATAAGTAACTAAGTCTTACATACATTATTTAAGCTAAGTGGGTTAATCAAAGCCCAAATATGTGGAAGATTTAGAGGTTGAAATCTCATGTATTTGGAAATTGTACCACTCTCTCGTTTAGACACATGTCCCACTTAGTCCTTGACCATGCAAAATTCAGTCATATGAAGAGAGAAGGGGAAACTAAGTCTCATAGATGTTGACTGTACACCATGCTAGAGTGACAAAGAGTGAGTGAGAGCTAGAGAGAAGAAGAAGAGGAGGAGAAAGAGTGAGTGAGACCTAAAGCCAAGCCTTAGAATTATACCTTGTTTCCCAATCTGATGGAATTAGAATTGGAACTACAATTGTTAACTCTTAATTTCAATACCACATCGTAATCCGACCACTAAGTCAGTTTAGAGTTACTGATAGGGCAGAAACAAACCAGAAATCTGATACAATCTGTTTCAGCCTTATTTCCAGCCGGATGAACAGAGATGATCTCTCAAAATCCTGCTTGTCATGTGCTGGTTCTATAAAATTTGCTTCAAGAACCCCTGTAATAAACATTATAAAAGTAAATGACTGTAAATTATGGAAAATGCTTGGAAATAAAAAATAAAATAAAATGTATAGGCATACCAATGACGCCATTTCCTTTGGAAGAACCATCACTAGTCACTTTCCAGAAAGGCTGAAATAATATGACAAACTTGCCATATCAGTAAACAATAGTTGTAGCTCCGTTGCATACCAACACCGCCAATTAAGGGTTGAAAAGAAGAATACCATTACACTAAGTTTAAAAACTCATGCAAGTGGATGGAACTTCTGTAAACATCCATGATTAAGTTCCAATTCTGACAAAAGTTCTTTTGCAGTCTGTTACTTCATTTAAGTTTATAAAATCATGTACTACGTTTAAATTTCAATGGACTAAGACCACTGGCAAGTTCTGAAAGTTTAACTAGGAGACATAGTTCAATGTTTCTTATTCACATCATCAACATCAAAATAAATTAAGACATCAAACCATAATAAACAATGAAAACTTTTCTAAAGCATTACTAAAACATACCCTGATAAGGCGGTTTTTATGGTAGACATTGTATCCACTAACTGCAAGAGCAGGTGCTTCTTTAATAAATCCAATGTTCACAGAAACCTATATCGAAAAGGTTGCATTCTATTAAACTTCCTCAAGTTTACAAAAGATACACACTTTCAGAGTGAATAGATCTACTTAAGGAATCTCGTTTCTATCTTCCATAAACTTCAAATATTTCAGTGCAATTATTTATATTGAACAGTGCAAGCAAGTTATACACGCATTTCCTATTTAAAACAAATGAAAAAAACATATAAATGACATTAGATGAGGTGGACACTTGGAGCAAATACTTTTCATTTACTTGTGGAATAGGTATTCTGTAACCAACACCCATTAAGGCATTGAATTCACTAGAATCAAGAGTAACTACAGATTCATCTTCACAAAAATGGTGTCTACAGTAATTTCTATGCATTGTGTTATCATCGCAAAGTACTAATGGGGGGCAAAACGTAAAGGAAATATCAAGCATCTATTTTCATGACACTAAAAACTGGAAGATTGGGAACTTGTATGTTGTTTAGTTAAACAATGTCAAGGATCTCTCTCTCTCTCTCTCTCTCTAACTCTCACTCTCTCACACACACAAAATTCATTAGAACTGTATAACTGGGAAAAATATAGCATAGAAACAGACGTGTATTGCATGCCATCAGGTGGCTGGTTAGACACCACCAGACCATCTACAAGACTTGCCTAGGCATTTTAATAATCACACGTACATGATTAGCCAACACAACAAACTCAAAAAAGAGCATAAAAGGAGAGATAACAAGTGATGCAAGCAAACCATATCTTGATAGTTCCTATTTAGAAGATACTGAGCATTGAAAAAAACAGGGTTCTTTACGTTTCCCAATGGGTTGGATTCAATTTGGACCCATACTAACCCATTTAAACCTGAGTGTCTTATTCATGAGCCAATCTAACACTTAATATTTGTTTTAAATAGTAATTGTAATAAATTACAAATGAGAATCAGGTTGATTATGTCATTGAATCCAGAAGTCTTACTGAATCCAACTCACATGATACCATCTAGGGTAAGGAATCACTCTGCACTCGGCATCCACAAGTTGAGTCCCATCAGGATCAAGTTTTCCACTATGTGCAAGCAGTAGTTATCTTCAAAATAATTAAAAAGCACACAGAAGTAACCAAAAACTTAAACCCAAATTCTCAATCTGTTTAGACTCCTAGACAGGGAAATATATTTACTGCAAAAGCAAAGTCAACAATTAAAATTAAAGTCAACGAACCCAAATTTATGGCCACATTTTCATTGTTTCAACATGATTCACAATATAGAATCTGTCTAAGAACCAAAGTCAACAATTAAAAATTACAGCTCGCTTCAAATAGCTGAAAACATAAAAGAACATCAAAATCACCCTGCTGCTGACAAGAGTTTAACTGAATGACCAATGTAGGTGAGTTAGAACTGGCACATATTTTAGCAGAAAGAAGCACAGTAAAATTACAAATCACTCCTGAGGGTCAACCCAATCTTGAATTAATTACTTAAACAGGTCAAAACCCTTATCCAAAATTTTAAAAATATTGGCAGATTCAGGCTAGTTGAGGACTCAAGAAAATAAATCCCAATACACAGGATACCCGATAACATGGATATAGTGCTAATTATATGCCAAAATTTGTTCCGTATATTTCTATTCTTGGTGTTCATTGAATGAAAGGAACATCACAGTTGGAATTAATTGTTATGCTAGCTCACAACACCAGAAATTGAGAAAGGTGAAATAGAACACTTGTACCAAAGTTCAATGCTTCTACATGTTTGCAACACTGCTTTGGCAAATCTTAAAAAGTTGAATTCTCATCTCAACAAATCCTAGAAGATAATCAGTTAAGCAATTAGCAGAATATACAACACATTACGAAACTCTCAAGGCCACACTTTATTCTAGCACCATACACCATTTACACACACACACACACACATATTTCTGACCAAGTTATACCTCTTTCGCTGCTGTAGCAAGCTGTGGTTTGTACATGAATACTTTTGGATATCTCAACTCATCTGCAATATTAAACTGCTCAACCGGTTTGCCCCTCAGTATTATTTGGAAGTTTGTGAATTTTTTCAGGTACAAAATGGACGTATATGCCTGAACAGGTATATGTTAGTCTAATTTGAACATTTTAAGCAAATATTACTGATAAGGAGAAGAAGCCTCTCTCTGAAGAGATTCCCTTGAAAAAAAAGATTCAGATCGTTACCCGTAATGAATAGCGGAAGCGGTAGGAAATATGGGATTGCAATTCAAGTACTTTCTTGTGTGGTCTGGATAAAGTTCCACGACTAGCTTCATCTCTCAACCTTATATCCTATGTCAAGAAACAAACAACAATGTCAAATATCTGCGATATATAAACATCAACAAAAATATAATTCCCAACACCCACAGAGAAGCATATAACCCACAGTTATTAAAACTACAGTCCAGCAGTCATTTTTTGACCCCTCACAAAAGACAGAAAGGAACCAGGATGAGTGAAAGAAAGAGGCCAATATCTGCAGCTCTTTCTATCTCTTAAGCAAATGCACAACAGATCTTTGTACTACTAGCCCACCAGAAGTACCAAACCAAAATAGTTAGTTGGTGTCCTTAAATTTCTCACTGAAAAACATGTTAGTCATTACTAACATGCATATAAAAAAAAGTAAACCCAGCCATTCCTCCTCCCCTCTTTTGATCACCTCACATGGAAGGTGATGAATTTTTAAAATCCCACTTTGTGCTTATGATGCCTTGAAAGTCTCCTTACTTCGACAAAAACAATCAATGTTTCTTCCAATCTTAAAGTCAGATCACTAAACTCCAGTTTACACTAATTTGATCTTGAACCAATCCTGCCCTTCCATGACAGAAGCTGAAGTGTGTAAGTTCATACAAGTTTTTTTTTTTTTTTTTTTAACAAAAAGTAAGTTCACACAAGTTGGAAACGTATAATTTCACTTTCATGGTTGCAGACGTTGTGGGGTTCCAAGCCATCTATTTAGTTTTTTTTCCAACACAAAGTTTGATATTTGAAGTGCTCCCCTGCAAAAACCCTTTTAGAGTCTACCAGTTCATATCATTTTCCAATTAGATGGTGGATATTCAAAATACTAAATCATTTCTTTATGTTCATTCCACAACTCCCAGGAACATTACCACTACTAGACCCATATCAAGATTCATTTTTCCATCCACTTTTTGAACGATTGTCACTCCTGACTTGTAGCTTAAACATTAGTGTAATTGAACAGTAAACTATCAGGAGAGAAAATCCTTCTTCTTCAATCAAAACATCTATTACGTGCGTTCCTACATTTTTGTTACTGATATTTGATTAGACTATGCTACTTGTTTTTTTCCTAACAGCAAAAGTAATTATCTTTTTCTAATTTGAATTCAGATGCTATCATATTCGCTGTGTTTTGGCTTGGGGTCTTCTTTCTTTAGACTTTGGATTGTGTTTTCTCAATGAAATCATAGAATTTTCCCATCATATACGCAACATTAAGTCCTTGAAATGAATATCGGTTAAAAAGGGAAAAGAAAAGGTAAGTTGGAAAAACCAAAAGCAGAGTCATAACTGGATATTCTAGCTACAGGGAAATTGACTGCAAAAGCAATTAGCATGCTTAGATCTATAGATACAGATGCAGTAAACACTGGAAAGACTAAGATCAAAAAAAGTCCAGCATGTCTCAAAATATGCAGCTAATTTGTAGGAAAAATCATACATGATACTTCACGCCACTACATTAATTTTGACATACCTCGTCATCGTCGTCAAAATTCAATTCAAATATACCTTCGTCATTTAGCCATAGGTTGTATATAATTACTTTTGTTCCATGTGGCCCGATATCCTCAAACTAGACAAAGGAAACAAAACCTAATCAGGGAACATGAACATATAACTGCAACCAAAGCATAGAAAACAAGCCCCAAACATGATGTAGCTCAAAACCAGCAACTACAGTTCAGTAAATGTCCTGCTGCCAAAAAACTCACAAGAGAAGGTGCCTATATATACATTTCAAACCACCTTGCTGGGCCTACAAAGAACCAAGAGTGAAATTCTAATAATAAGCATGGACACTTCTCGAAGGCGTTTTGTCTATGTTGGACAACCGTCGTACAATGGCCCTTGTCATATACACCCCAACAAGTGTCGCACACATACATGCCCTTATATATATATATATTTTTTTTTTCTAGAATCTAAGCACATACACTTCCAAGAAGGTGGTGTGCCATGCCAGACACCGATACAATGCGACACGACAAGACACAACACTCGAGAAACGTTGAGATGGTAATAATGGTAGTAGAACTGGTTCAGAGGCTGAGGGTTTGGCTTGCAGTATTGGCAGCACAAAAGTTATTCATTATATAGTTGCATAGTGATGGCTGTCTCAACATTGGCAACAACAATGAGATGGTGCAAATGATATTTAGTGCTGCAACAGCATGAGCTTTGGCTTTTACAGTTTTTAGTGGTGGAGGTGGCAATGATGAAGGTGCTTGTGGATGTGGGTTGGAGTAATGGTGGAAGACACGCTGATGCTCAAAGGTGTGGTGGTCATTGAAAGTAATTGAGTTAGTAGAGGCAGCAAAGGTATGATGCAAATGGTAGTATGGTTTCAGCAGCTGCAAACATTGTAGAGATGCCTATAGTATTAGCAATAGTAGAACAATAGTGCAGTGTGGCAACCACAGTAATGATGGTGACCATGGGTTATGGCAATTTCATGTTCTCCACATGTGACTTGTTAAATGAAAAAAATATCCACATATGTGAAATTTCCAAAAATAACATGCTGAAATTATCAGCATAAAGATCAGGGCACGGCATATATCCATCAATTGTATAAAGGCTGCATTTGGGCCACATTGCCCTACCAATATCTGTTTCTTGCCAAAAATTCTTTTCTGCAAATCCTTTCTTGCATCTTGTAAAGGATTATGAATCATAAGAAACTTTACAATCATGCCCTCTTCAGAACTTCGTAGAAAATACAACACATGCAAGCAAAGTAATTTCTTTATTTTTGCTTTACTTTAATTGCCTTTTCATATCACTATCCCACATAATGTTTCTGACAAGGAGCCATTGAGATTGGTGGAAATCGCTAAACTTAGTACAATAAATAGAAATATGTAACAGACTTTAGTATGTATTCGGCAGAAGTTAACTGCCCAAGAAATTATTTCAAATTCAAAACAAAAAACTATAAATTTGACTGGAGAAGATGTAGCATCTCATGTAATGAAATGAACCTGTAGCATAAGCTCATCTTTTGATTCAAAGGGAGACCATTCAAGAATGGTTTTCAAGTTAGTAGACCAATCGTCTTCAGAGCCATATAGTATTCGTTCTGCCCAATGGTTAGATATGTTGAAGTCGAGCTGCAATATAATTGAAAGAAAATAAGAAATTTAATAATAAAAATAAAGTTAAAAGAAAGTAAAGTCTTGAGATTAATAAAAATTTAAGATTAAGAATGGACAGGTTACCATTGGAACTATAACATCGTCCTGCCCAGTTCTCCGCAAAAAAGTATAGGATAGAAGACCAACACTTTGGGTTGCTTCGCTAAAAGACAATTATGGCAATATAATGTCAAAATATATTGAAGCTTAGTTACTGAGATAGTAATAGCAGAATTATGATTAATAACCATAAAAAGTATGCAAAATATGAATTAATACATCATGAAAGTGTGAGCATACCTACAGAAAGTGCATATTCAAGTGAGATGAGCATAAAAACTCATCCTAGCTAAAGTTGCAGAATAGTTATGTTAACCTAATATTTCCATTCTACTCCTGAAATTGAAACACCAATTGCTGTTACACAACATAGTATTATTTTCCTCATGAAAATAACAGGAAACGGTAAATCAGCCTGCCTGTTGCACTGAAAAATAAAAAATGGTCTTGATTTTAGAAGCAATCTTAAGTCCCAAGAAATTAGAAGTTTGATAATCGGTAAATTGTTCGGTCTTTGACACTGATGAAAAATTGCTATTAGATTAAGGTTTAAGTATGTTTCATTTGAAATTTTCCTGTAAGGAAAAGAGTGATTTGATACAAGTTGAATGTGCCAAAAGGGCTAGAGAAAGGCCAACAACAGAAAAGGGAGCAATGTATCAGGCCCTCATGAGGTGAGGCCTAAGCCTTAAGGCATCAAGGCGTAAGCATTTCAAATTTTAAATGTTAATATTTAGTGAATAAATTAAATTAAAAATAAATAAATATAAAGGTGTAAATACTTTTTTCCTTAAGGCATTGAACATTTCACTGCAAAAAATGAAGTTCGCCTTCACTGAAAGTGAAATTGATATCTTTAGTTTAGTGATTGAACTTCTCATATGCTTATGCGCAAAAGGCGTACAAGGCACACCTAAGGCGCATGTCTGAAACTGTTATGCATAACCCTTTGGGGAGTAAAGCCTAAAAATCAAAGCCTTGATGTGTTTTACCTTAACCTCGAGGCGAGGCGTGCATCGAGGGGAGCCTCGGTAAAAGCCTTTTAAAACTTTGATTAGGATTAAGGCCTTTTGAATTGAGTTGTTAGTTTTAGACGGTAGCATGGATTGGACATGTGTATGCTTATGTTTCCTTGGCTCACTTATTAATTTGATCAGCTTTTTAGATGTATATCATGGGTCTAAAAAGGTCAAAGTTTTTACTAACCATCCAAGTTTTCAATTTATGCCAAGGTGTCCCTTCATTGTCTTTCAAGTTACTTGCCTGCCTTACTTTTTAGGATTCCTTCGCTTGGCCTCCAACTTTTTACAGACTACAGTATAAAGCCCTCAATCATGCACTTTAGATTTGACTCTGGCACCACCGAAGGTGGATGACCGGCCTAGGGAATCCACTTAGTGCTCTCTGACTTTCAAAGGTGTCTTGGACAGATAAAAGTAGGACGGTAGGATTGAAAGTGGAGAAGAAAGAAGGTGAAGAATATGCTGAGATATGTAGTTGGCTAGTTATTTGTCTTTCTAGAACGAGGCATTGCATTCTGTTAGCTACTTATAGCTTACCTATAGAGAACATCTATCTAGGCAACCCTCTTCTCTATCCTACCTCACCTGCCATGCAGTGTGGGAGCATTTCACTCCTGAAACACCTTTTTTCTTTGTAGGGGGGCAAGAAAAAATATGGCCCAAGAACTTTTGAGTTTTTGTCAACTGCTGGTTTCCCCCTGATTCTTGCCCTATCACTAGTGGTTATTCCTGATCCGAAGCACCCCTTTTCCTATTCAAACGATTATATGTAACTAATAATTTCCACTTAAAGTAACAGACAATGAATTAATAAATTGATCTTCTATTACTAGTTATGTGTCGGTACCTACAGACTATGTGCATGTGTGACTGCCTAAGAACCTAGGTGTAATTTTTTCTTTTATCGGCAACAAAAAAACTAATAAAAATTAAAAATGAAATACAAAAGGAGGACAAGAATTCCACCCAAAAAAAAAAAAAGAGAGAGAGAGAGAGAGAGAACAAGAAAAGATAGCATGGATCCTTACAGTCTACAAATAGCTTTCCAATTCCCAGAAATTTTAAATTAAAAAAAAAAATTTAAAAAGGTGGATTCCTTTTAAAGGAGAGAGCTACCGAAACCGAAATATTAATTTCTCAATCTTATTGGCAACTCCCACAGGGATTCTAAACAAAGAGAGATAATAAATGGGTGAACTAGGCAAAATTGACTAGACCAAAATGAACATTCCCCCTTTAAAAATCAAAGCTTTTCTCCACCCATCCAATCACTTAGCTAGGTGTAATTGCCTACACCTTTTTATTCTAACATCATCAAGTTTGACTCTTACAAGTCTAGTGAAGTGTGGGGTCTTAACCTACCTCTCTTTCTTTTTCTTTTTCTTTTTCTTTTTTTTTATCGGCACAACCCACCTTTTTTTCTGTTCTTTTTTTCATTCACATCTCTTTAACATAACAAATACAGTTACACATGCATCAGTTAACCTGTAACTTGTTAGGTCCACAAGGTTCGTCTACATGAAGATCTCAACTGACACAAAAATCCTATTCTATTAACAAAATATCCAATATAACTATTCCAGGTTTCAACTACTTCTAATACACATTCTATTTAGGTTTACCCATAAGATGTTTTCTCCATGAAAATATATCCCTATGGTTTGAATATGTCCACTTCAAAACTGTAAAGTTCATGGCATGTCTCCAATATTACATGCATTTAGAAGCAATCTTAAGTCCCAAGAAATTAGAAGTGAAAAAATCTGAGTTTATCGCCCTTTCAGCTGAGGAAAGAAGCACGGACACTTCCAAAAATGTGGTGTGTCCGTGTCGGACACTTTCCCGGCATATGTTTGACCCTCATCTAAATGTGTTCTATTTTTTTTAAAAAAATTTAGACTCGGACACTCTTCAGACACTTGGACGACACAAGTGTCCATTGCTTAAACACGTGTCCATTGATTAGACACACACGAAACTAAGGGGTTGTTTGGGGTGTCCTAAATAAGTGCACTTTTTGTCTTTTTGGACGAAAAAATTGAGGAAAAAAATATGAATTTTTGGGTTAACTTTTTGACTCTTTATGAAAAAATGTGTATTAAAAAATTGTATAAATAAGTGTGTAGGAGAAGATAGGAAAGGAGGCCGTACGGATTGGCAGGGGAGTCGGCTGGTTGAGTAGATGAGAAAATATTGTCTCCTTTTCGAGCTTTGATTGGATGGTGTTGTTTGGCCCGTGGGGGTCACCACGGGTCCTGTTTTTCTAATCGAAACCGTTCAATGTGTAGAACTCGTTGAGTACTATATGTTTGTAAAAAATCACGTTGATTGAATATCGATAGCTATCTGATTGTGTTAGTTTTTTTTGTTAACTGTTACTATAACACCATCCATTTTTATACAAAACTGATTTGATCATGTAGTTAGCGATATCCGATAGACGTGATTTTTTATAGGCATATAGTACTACACAAGTTCTACATATTGAAGGTTCAGATTATCAAAACGGGACCCATGGTAGGCCCAACGGGCCCAACTTTACCATCTAATTTGGTGAATATACACATGAAATTTTTATTTTTTTTTCCTTTCACTAACTAGTTCATCACGTCAGTACCTAGATTGGGCTAAAAAGTTGATTTGTATTAATATTTGTATATTAATTTTTTAATTTTTTTTTTTTGTGAATAGTGATAACTTTTTAACTTTTTTGGTAACTTTTTAGCTTTTTCTAAGGTTGCCAAACCAGCCCTAATTAAAATAACTTATAATATAATGATAAAGAAAAATAATGTCAATTTATAGATATTAGTATTATATTACATTCATTTATTGTTTTAAAATGATATATTTATATACATGACATGTAATAAATATATAAAATGTTATATTATGTGCTTGTCCCCACGTGTCATGTTCTACATTTTTTGAAAATTGCCATGTCGTATTCATGATAACTTTTTAACTTTTTTGGTAACTTTTTAGCTTTTTCTAAGGTTGCCAAACCGGCCCTAATTAAAATAACTTATAATATAATGATAAAGAAAAATAATGTCATTTTATAGATATTAGTATTATATTACATTCATTTATTGTTTTAAAATGATATATTTATATACATGACATGTAATAAATATATAAAATGTTATATTATGTGCTTGTCCCCACGTGTCATGTTCTACATTTTTTGAAAATTGCCATGTCGTATTCGTGTTGTGTCACGTGTCCGTGCTTCGTAGGAGGAACCCTTAGTTTTCTTTATAAGTTCTTGCATTCCTTTTCATTTTATCTCTAACCCAACTTTTGGAATCGCCGCAACACTTACATGATCATTTTGCATCAATCAAGTCCAACACTATTGTAAAATGCTAAGAAGAGTGAAGAACACTTCTTTGTGTCAGACACAACACTCCCCAACAACAGTCCAACTTGCAAATGTGTCGTATTGTATGGGACGGAGTGTTGGGCAACCAAGAAACAACATGTAGATAAGATAAGTGTGGCTGAGATGAAGATGCTAAGGTGGATGTGTGGTAAGACTAGACAAGACAGGATTAGGAATGAGTGTATTCGGGAATGGGTAGGAGTAGCACCGATAGAAGATAAGTTGAGAGAGAATCGTTTGAGATGGTTTGGTCATATTCAACGGAGACCAACAGAGGCAGTAGTGAAGAGATGTAATGCTGTAACGGTAGATGGAAGTGTTAGGGGACGGGGTAGGCCTAGATTAACGTTGACTAGCGTTTTAAATAGAGATATGAATCTACTTAATTTGACTAATGAAATGGCCTTTGATAGGGCCACGTGGAGAAGAACGATTCATGTAGCCGACCCCATTTGATGGGACTTAAGGTTTGGTTTGGTTTGGTTTGGTTTTAGAAACGGAGTGACTACAGGATTACATCCTTCACAATTTCTCTGCACAAAGATCACAATTCACAACAAAGTACCCACATAATTTGTGACATTACTTACAAAGCTTATTCATTTGTTCTAAGGCATAGTTGAATAAAGCTATAAACTTATGTAAACCTACCCTCTCCACTATTAGCATTTTACAAGTGTTCCTCATACGTTAGCATAGTCCACTGTTAAATTCATTGGGTAGTTGTACCAGAAACCTTGGATTGAATCCTACCTTTATAAACGCTGGGGTTTGTGGGTGTGGGGGAGGCCCATCCACCACCGTCTAACCAATCATCATCATAAAACCAGAATACAGAAAAAATAAATAAATAAAAAAAGAGAAAAAAAAAATTCAAATAGTTCATCTCACTTAATTCTATAGAAATGTAGATATATTCTTATTCTTCCCCAAACAAAGGAGGACTTCTAACCACACAATCTCATTTTTAAATTTTCTACTGGAACTAGAACAATTTTTTTTTTTTTTTCCCTTAAGCAATAATTACTTACTGTGCAATAAGCAAAGATTGCGCAAGATGTGCAGCAAGAAGGGTCGATGGTCACCCCTTAGAAAACATATGGAGTGGGAAAGGAAAAACTAATCCTAACTTCTGTGTGGTGTTTTCCACAAATATTGAAATGGAGATCATTCCCTGGGCTCGTTTGGGAACTTGGCTATTTTAGTTGGCTTCTTAGCAATTTTAGCCTGGCTAAAAAAATTGGGTTTGGAATGATAGTTGTCTTTCTTTTCCTTTTTTGCAGTTGATTTGATGGTTGTGAAAGAAAAAAGTGAAATGATTATGGTTTGGATTGTCTTTATTGGCTATTTTAGCCTATTTTGTCTTTATTGGCTACTTTAGCCAAACAAGCCACCAACCCAACTTCCCAAACACCCCCTTATGTGGCTGTAATGATAATCAGAGCTGGCCATGCACGTTTGTATACATGTGTAAACATGGAAACCTACACATCTACAAAATCAAAAATAAGGCAAGGGGTGTCAAAGGAACATTTCCTTTGACTGAACTTCCACTTTATTCAGCACGAAATGTCCACTCAATTATGGAAACTAAAGACTGAGCATGAACAGGAATTGAAGAAAAATCCATAAAAATAATTTGAACCAGACCTCAAGGACAAGGCAACTTACTGCATGAACAAATACAGCAGAACAAAAATAAAATAAAAGAAAAGAAAAGAAAAGAAAAGAAAAAATACCCTCTCTTAGATGCACGACTGAAAACGATTACGTCAGCACCTAGTCGCATGGTACTTGTCTTGAATCCATTACCATCTGGAAAGAGAATGCCCGTTTGATATTGAGAAACACAATATGAAGATATAAGAGTTGCATGCAATTAACTAAATAAGACCAAAGTGAAAATTTAAGAAATGTTTAGTCACAGCATATTTAACTTTATTAATCTATCAGAGTTCAACCATCATTACTTAGATGTATACGCCAAATGCTGTATACATAAATAATGTGCTAAAGCAGGCTGCCTGATACATGTCAACAAATTAAACTTTTATGGTACTGTAATGGGTATAGATATAGAAACGGTAAAAACGAAATTCTCCCGCATAGCCACCTCAAAGAGAGAGAGAGAGAGAGAGTACAATGAGGGACAAGAAGTCCAACGAGAAAGAAAAAGAGTAAAGAGAAAATCAAGATTACAAATCACACACAACTCTCCAATCTCTGATAATAAAATTAAAAAAAAAAAAATCCTCTTAAAAGGAGATGTCACTAAAGCCCAAAAACAAGACAAATAACAAATTTTATCCCATAATTCTACTAATTCTTCAAACTTTTCCTAAAAAATTATTCCGTTTCTCCCAACCAAATCATCCAAGACACATCACAGGTTACACAACTCGAAAGAACGCAAATTGCCAAAACCCTAATAATCAATCAAAAGCATCTAAATACAATTCAATATGATGAATTCCTCTTCGTGCTTGCTCATAGACAACCAAGTGTCAAAAAATTGGCTCTCCCCATATTATGGTAAAATTAAGTGCTAGTTATGCTCATTTGTGGACCTAGTAAGTCATATCAACCATTCTCACACAAATTTCTAAAATATAATCAATGACAAGAAGTAATGAATGATAATGTAAACTTCATAATAGTTACATTGTCCGATTGTTGTGTTTCCCTTCTTTGAGGAGTAACCCAAACTCATGCATTTCCGAATGCATTCAGGATCCATTCCACCCCCATCATCTGCATAAAAAGGCTGTGAGTTGATAATTTGCAAATTCTCATAGAAACTCATGCTACAAACCACATGCCATTGTTCCAATAGTAAAAATTATAACATGTGAAACCATACCTAGGAAAAGTAAAGCAGGAGAGTTATCCTTCACATTATAAATTCTATCAACCTTCACAAAAGTTGCACCATTGCAAATCTGGTAACACAAGCAGATGCAATCATGTGCATATATACAAAAATAGGGTTAGCGCCTAAGTTACGTTCCAGCAGATGAATTATTCCAGTATACTGTCAAGAACATTTGTGCTTCTCCTTTTTTCATTGATGTGAAAGACTTTGCTCGAAATCAATTACTTGAAACATTAGACCATTGTAGAAATAGCAAAGGCGGGTAAAGAAAAGCAATGAGAAGCATTCATGAAGTAATTTAACCTTTTTATTTTGATAGTTATATAACCAAAAAGTATAAGATGAGATGGACAATAAAAACATGCAAAAGCACATTCTCTGACTTATATCCTTGACAAAGATTACATTCTCAGTGATGTGTCCACTAGTAACTTCAAAATGGTCCAATGCTATATTAGCCCCGTTTGGTGTAGTTGTTAAAACAGCTTATAGATTATAGCTTAACAGATTATAGATTATGACTTTAATCAGAAGTTGTTAATCTGTTTGGTTGGTATAACTGTTGGATTATAGATTTAAGTTGCTGAGTAGTGTTTGTTAAATAAGCTGTGAAATAGCTTTTTCAATTAATTTTTATTTTTTGTTTGTCTATATTTCTCATAAAAAATAATAATATTAATCTATAGTCCATTTGAGTCTTTTTCTATTTTTAAAAAAATAAAAAATAAAAAAATTTAAGAATATAACCATAAATTAACATGTCCACAGCAGAAGCTGATAATCAGAAGTAAGGGGTGAGCAGCTTCTCAGAATCAGCTTTTTTGAGTTAAAATAAGCTGTTAGAATCAGAAGCTGTTTGAAATAAGTTTAACCAAACAGTCCAAAATAACTTTTTCAAAGCTAAAAGCTATAAGTTGGCTCTGAAAAGCTGAAACAAACACCCCCATTGTGCAATTATTAGAAACCATCCCACCTAAGTCTATTTTTCAATCCATGTAGAAATCCGTTATTAAAGCCAAACATCATAACCAATATTCAAAATATACAAGTACTTTACAGATTTAGAAGAGCCCATGTAAACACTAGACCATATCACTCTAACTCCCTTGTGGTAGAAAAATCAAATCATCAATTACCTACCAAGGGTATTTTGGTAATTTTGTATATAAAGGGTAATTCTGTTATTTTAAATTTGAATGATGTCTAGGTACCCAGACTGTTTGTTTATGAGTTTTATGTATTATACTTATTTGAAATAATTGTTTTAATAAGTTTAGGAAACTTTATTTAGGATTGGTTTGGCATACACTATAAAAGCCAAAAAGTCAAAAAATTACTCAAAAAGTCAAAAAGTTAACACTATTCACTAAAAAAAAATATTAAAAAAATAATATCCACATAATAATACAAATAAAAAAAAATACAATTGACAAGGTATGACGTGAGTGACTAGGGGGAAAAAAAAATAGGGAGTAAAAGATTCATTAAATTGGATGGTAGAGCTGGGCCCGTGGGGGCCCACCATGGGTCCCGTTTTGGTAATTTGAATCGTTCAATATGTAAAACTTGTCTAATAGTATATGCCTATAAAAAATCACGTCTATCGGATATCGCTAAATATATGATCAAATCAGTTTTGTATAAAAATTGATGGTGTTATAGTTAACAGTTAACAAAAAAAACTAACACGATCAGATAGCTATCGATATCTAATCAACGTGATTTTTTACAAGCATATAGTACTCGACGAGTTCTACACATTGAACGGTTCCGATTAGTAAAAGGGGACCTGTGGTGGCCCCCCATGGGCCAAACAGAACCGACCAATTTATGCCTGAAAAGTAGAGAATCAATCTCCTACACACCCTCTGCAGCGCTGCTTCCAACCGTACGGCCTACACTATTACTTTATTCCCCTATACACTTATTTATACAATTTTTTAATACACATTTTTTCATAAAAAATCAAAAAGTTAATCTAAACATCTATATTTTTTTCCTCAACTTTTTAGTCAAAAAAGACAAAAAATACACTTATTTAGGACACCCCAAATAACCCCTTAGTAAAATTTAGAAATCTTTTTTCCTCCTCTGCTCTTCACAATACATGCTCTTGACTCCATCTCATGTGCCTAAACAATAAGCATGTATCCCCCAAGTGTTCGAAGCATGTTCAGCTCTTAAAATATTTTTAAAAAATAATATGACACATTTGGATGCATATCCAACATATGTCAAGCCGTGTTCGACATGGACACAATACTTCCTTAGAAGTATCTGTGCTTCTTAAATTACAATAGTCTACAAAATCTCTCTAATCAAATGATACAATGAGTCATACAAAAGATTTGTATAATACCAAGACCCTGTTAAAGCTTTCTCTTGAATGCTTGCTTCAGATCAAGAGAATATTTCAACTCAACAACCACTGCAAGCATTTCTTCACTCAATTTAACTTTTTGGCTGTACAAGCATTTCCTCACTCAATTTATCTTTTTGGCTGTGCTGAAGGAAGCAAGTGTGAAGCTCATTACAACAAAGATACCTTCCAGATTTTATATTTCAGTTAGCTGCCAATCAACCACAGAGGTCCACACCTCCCAACTTCTAAGCAACACAAATGACATCAATGTTTGGATTATAGAATCCTACCAGTTCTATTCAACAAAATTCAACTAATGTCCTAGAAATAGGTAAGCAAATCCAAGGTATACTTATTTCAAATTGCATCTTCTCACAAGTCCTGCATGAACCAGGGCACCATGAGTAATGGACAACTCCATTAGTAACTCAAACCAATCAATAATCTACGCAATCAGTATTCTAAGAAGGCTATTAAAAGTTTTCCATTCACATCTGACATCCTGTATCACAATGCAGAAATCCATGAAATAATTTGAATGAAAAAATGATCTACATCACCCACATAATACAACTTCAAATAATTACTATGGTAAAACACATCGATGATTACCTCATCAACAGCATTATCCAATAGCTCAGCAATTGCTGCAACAAAGTAACATATCAAGCATATCTCAAACAATACCCACCAAAAATAAATAAATAAAAATTCAAAAAATGGTATATGTACAAACGGATGTACACGTTGATTTCATAATATTGGCTTCATTTATCAATCATTCTCGGGTTTTCTTTTTCTTCTTCTTGTTTCCACAATAGTAGTCAATTGAAAATAAATGGGAAAATTGCAAGTCAGCTGTGTTTTCAAAAAATATTTACAAATTTATGTAAAAGTTTATAACTTTAATTATTAAAGTTGGTAAGGCTTACCACTGAATTTTTATTTTATTTTTTTAAATAAACATAAACCGAATTGCATTTTTCCCAAAATAAATTCAGAAAACATATTAGTACCTCCAAATGCCCATTTGTGAGAAGTTGCATTGGAATGCAGAAACTTGGGATGAACACGGGCATGTTCCAATTGACCTAAAAAAATTGCAAAAACAGCTTCACCAACATAAATAATACACAAATATATACAAAAGCAGTGAAATTGAATGATGAAAAGAGATAAAACCTTGAGTAGGAGCCCATTTTGTGGGGCCAATGTTATAGTTCCCTGCTTTCCAGAAACTTCGAGACTCGAGTGACTGATACCCCGATCCCGACGATGGAGGGTTTGTTAGAGTGTTCTGTTGAACTTTTGGGTTAGTTTGCAAAGAGGGAACTTTTGATGAAGTGTTTCCATACCTTGTTACAGCTTCGAAGCCGTTTTCATCATCGTCGCTACTGTCAATGTCGACGACATTGATCGGTACTTTTTCTTGTTTCGGTAACATCGATTGATGATTGACACCAAAATTTGGTATAAAAAAGAAACAAGAAAAAGAAAGATTATAGATAACCGAAGGGCTAGGGTTTTAAAGAGCTTTGATACGGAGGTAAAATGAATTACGATGGTGTTTGTTAACTAAAACCCCTTCCTGTCAATTGCAGCATAGAGAAAGAGTTGTGCTGGTTGCGTTTCTGAAGTCGGCGAGGACAGCAACGGAAAAAATAGGGAAAATTTTATTAAAATTATTACATCTTTATAAATAAAAATATATATAATTATAATTATTAATATTTTAAAAAAAAATTAATTTCTTTTTGTAATTATTTTCTCAATACTCATGGAATTGAATTTTTTTAAAAAATAGTTTCATTCGCTGGATATTATTTTCACAAAAAATTTAGATTAAAAGTTGACCTTTTAATTTTTTTTTAAAGAACGTATATAAAATTAAGATGTGATATTACCTAAAAAAAATCAAAAATTTTAAAAAATACTTTTTAATCTCTCTGCCAAAAAGGCTTATATTTTTAGCTAAAGTTCTGTTTGGATGGCTGTATAAAAAAGGAAAGCAAAATAAGTATATTTATTGCTCACTATCTTGTTTTCTAAGAGCAAAATATAATTTCTCATTAAAATGAATAATAAAAACATAACTATATATACACATGTTTTATTTTATTTACTTTGTATTTAGAAAGATAATTTACCTATCATATTTTTTTATAAAAATTATTTTTTATTTCTTACTAAATCTCATCATTTTGATATAGAAAAATATTATGGTGCACAGTCTTATGCACCTTATAACTATAAAAAAAAAACTAACATAATTTTAAATTGTAAAAAATTACACAACTGGAGGTGCATGTGATCACCCTTTTTAAAGGGGTATATATTAGAATTTCCCTTTGATATAAACAATTTATCTTTCCAGTCTATGAGTCTACTATAAGTCCTGTTTCAATAATTTGAATTGTTCATTTTATAATGACATTCATATATAATATCCACACAAAAAATTATGTCAAACCGATAATTGTAAATGTTTAATTTATTGTGTGTTGGCTTTTTGGCTTTTCGAAGGGTATTTTTGTGAATGTGAGCGTGCCAGCAAGGATCAATCAGTCCTTACAGAAATTATAATTGCCAACCAATTATCAGACGATTGTGTTTTAGTTCTTTAATATAATATATATATATAATTTAATAAATTATATAATACATATAAATTAAGTAAAAGAGTTAGTCTTAATTTTTATTTTTTATATTTTTTTTTGTTAGTCTTCTATTAAGTAAAAGAGTTAGTCTTAATTTTTAATTTTTATTTATTTTTTGTTAGTCTTCTACCATTAGATTAGCATCTTTTATGTCTACCCTTAGATCTACCTACAGGTTTCTGGACTCGGGCAATTCGGGCTAACCCAAGCTCAAAATACAAAGCTCGGGCCGGGCTTGGGCAGCAATGCTCGGGTTCATGGTCGGGCTTGGGCACTGCCAAATACAATTCGGGTCGGGCTTGGGCAGACCCCCAACCCGACCGAACCCGCATGAGTTGCACCCCTAGTCTACTATAAGTCCTGTTTCAATAATTTGAATTGTTCATTTTATAATGACATTCATATATAATATCCACACAAAAAATTATGTCAAACCGATAATTGTAAATGTTTAATTTATTGTGTTTATCATTAAAAAAATTAAATAGTCTAGATGTGACAAACAAAACAAGTTATAATTATCAAATTAATCTAATTTTTTGTATAAGTGATGTACATTAACAACCTTACAAGATGAATAATCCGACTAATCAAAACGAGATTTGTGATTAACCTCACAAATCCAAATAATACCCTCTAATTTTGATCTTGGGCCGAAATAAAGGTCATCCCTTCTCAATATATTTAGTCGACTCCCTTGAAATTTTATAAAGTTTAACGGAAAGGCTATAGTACATACTCTTCAAAGGGTGTGCGTTGCATGCACTTTATAATTACACGAGACAATGACATAATTTCATACTTTTTGAGTTATAACCAAACACAGAAGTCATAACCAAATATCTCAAAATAATATATAATTAAAGGAAAAAAGTTATCATAATTAAAAAAGAAAATAACGTGACTAAAGGTGCATATAGTATAGAGGTGTATATAATAGAATTCTCTAAAATTCAAACAGAACCTTATAGTATTCTTTAATTGTACATTAAAATATTATATTTTTCTTTAATCCTTTACTTATTTTCACAAAATCATAAGAACAAAATAAAATATAGATAATATTTGATATATCATCAATGTATTAATTAATGTAATAGGTTTCACTTTTCATGTCTACGTCAAACATTATTCAGAATTTCTTACACAAATTTAACGAACAGACTATATGATTGTATTTTTTCATAAGAATCATCCTTCTATTATTATTTTTGTTAACAATATCAAACACAGTATTTTATTATTTTTGTTGCTAAAAACTATTGGAGAAATTATCATTTAGTGGGAATTTAAAAAATTATTATATATTAGTAAAAATATTTATTATTTAAAAAAAAAAATCTAATACCTCTGTTGCGTAATTCTCCCAAAACTATTCTATTAACAATATGAAAGGACTAAGGCCAAGTTTGGTTACAAAGAAAAAAGTGCACTTATTTCATCTTTTTATCTTTTTTGGGTCACATCAATCAACATCTCCTCTCTATTTTTTCTACACATAATACAAAAAAAGTCAAAAAGTGCACTTATTTAGTCTTCCCAAACTAGGCCTAAAGAAACGCACACCAATTGAAAAAATAATACCTTTATTATGTAATTCTTCCAAATCTAATACCTCTGTTGTGTAATTCTCCCAAAACTATTCTATTAGAGAAAAATTAGTCTAAGGTCCCTCTTCCACTTTTGGTGATAGAAGAGATCCACAATATTATTTTATGATGTCTAAGGTCCCTTAATTCTACACCCATATATCCAGAGAAATTCCAATCTCTCGCTTTCTCCTTCTTCACACATGAACACATTTCTAAGCTTTTCACTTCCACCATTAGATGTAATCTCTCTTTCTCATTCTCTCTCTCTTCTAGAACAGATCCAAATATGATCTGATCACCTCAAATCTTTATCTATACACACATCAATTTCAACGTTTGATTTCAGTTTCTGTAGATTCAATTGAAGAGAGTTCTTAATTATCTACGATCTGATCGGAATCAGAAAATGGCGGCATCGAGACGCCTCCGAGACCTACAAGCGCAATCAGGGAACAAGATCTGCGTTGACTGCGCTCAGAAGAATCCGCAATGGGCGTCGGTGTCGTACGGCGTGTTCATGTGCTTGGAGTGCTCGGGGAAGCACCGCGGTCTCGGAGTTCACATCAGCTTCGTCCGATCGGTCACCATGGATTTGTGGTCCGAGATCCAGCTCAAGAAAATGGAGTCTGGAGGTAATGAGAAGCTCAATAGCTTCCTCTCTCAGTACGCCATCCCTGCCTCCACACAATTAATCGCTTCCTGATATAAAACATTATATTGTGAATTCTTGCCTCTTTGAGCATTTCCGTGCATCTCAACAGAGGGTGTTACATCTAACATTGCCTCATCATTGGCATTTCTTGTCCATCGAGTCATCATATAGTGTGGTGGAAGCATAAAGATGTTTATGGCTTTGAATACTGCAAGCACGTGTCTACATAGTATTCCTTCAAACTCAAACATCAACCAACTATAAGTAACTTTTTGCTCAAATAGATCAAAATCAACGGAAAACACTTTATGTTCCTCATCAATTCTGATTTGAACTAAATTTTCTCTAGGTTGGTCTAGAGAAATTCTTTGGTTTGGACTGATTTTTTTTTTATTTGAACTGAATTTTCTCTGGGTTAAAGAGAATTTCTCTAGAAATGTTTCTTTAGGAATTTCATTGATTTTGAGAGAATTTCTCTGGCTTAAAGTGATCCAGAGAAATTCTTCATTCATTTTCTCTGGAAAAAATTTCTATCTAGAGAAATTCTGAACCAGGGTTGAACCCAGAGAAATTCATAGCATTAAGTTTAAAGAAAATCTATCACAAACTCATAGAAGAACTATTATAAACATGGGAATTGTTTATATATATTATGTATATTTTCATAGATTTCACACTCACATATACCTGTACCCATGTGTGTATGTTTAATTTCATTCCTTCAATGGTTGTGCTTCTTAGTCTGCAAATCCCACTGATGTTATTACTTCTTTTTTTTTTTTTTGGTAATCAGCTCGATGTTGTATGCACTTTCTGTCCTCCATCAACCACTCATCCACCGTCTCTTCACCTAACGAGTGCAACCTCTTATTTTCCAACTTTCTCTGGATTTCCAGCAAGAGCAAAGGTTGCTTGAAGAAAGGGTTGCTACGTTGTCTGGAGAAATTTTCAAAATTTCTCTGGAAAGTCTAGATCTCTGGACCAATTTTCTCTGTGACGTGAATTTTCTCTGGACTAATTTTCTCTGGACCAATTTTCTCTAGATCAACTTGAGGGACTTTAGACATTATGAAAATATTAGATATCCTTTATGCTATAAAATCTTAATACGAGGGACCTTAAAAAAAAACCCCTTCTATTAAAATAATGTGTTTGCTTAATATAAATTTAACCACCACAATATAATGGCATTTTTTCATGAAAATCATCCATCTTTTATTATTTTTGTTAACAATATGGTAGGATTAAGAAGAGACACGTTGAGAAAGTATTATTATTTTGTTAGAAATATCAAACACACTACTTTATTAGTTTTGATGTAAAAATATATTATACTAATATGAAAGGACTATGACACATATAGCAATTTAAAAAATATTAAAATAATGTGTGTTTCTTAAGTGAGTGGGATCTGTCGATGATTCCTCTCCCATATATATATATATTAGTGTATATCTGTGTCTAAAGGCACTGTGTAAATAATATTAAGATTAAAATGCAATTATAAAAATATATTTAACAGACAGTACTCTACAATTCCAAACAAATCAAATATAAAAAAAAAAAATTTGAATATCAAATAATGCACACCAGCCAGTGCTCTGCAATTTAAAAGAAATTAAAATTAAAATGCACAACAGTTAGTGCTACTGCTGCCAATCAAATTGTCCAGCTGTACATCCTTTGATCGTATAAGTATTCTCCTCCCTAAAGATAGTTTGGATTCTACTACAAATATTGTTTATCCTGAAGTG